AGTAGACACGCCCCTGCCCCGCCTCCCGCGGACACGCCCCTGCTCCGCCTTCCATGCAGACATACACCGCCCCCTTGTCTCGCGTGCAAACACGCCCCTGCCCACCCTCACCTCGCGTGCAAACATGCCCCTGACGTGCGACTGGATGACGATGGCCGCGCGGCGGCGCTTCATGAAGAGCAGCCGCAGGCGCCAGGCGCGGTACTGCCGCTGGATGAGCACCGCCGCCGCACGCCACCTGCCATACTGGCGGCGATGGCGGTGGCAGCGATACCTGCGACATGCATCCCGTCACTTAAGTGAATAGTAATATATTCATACAGATATTTGTACATATTTTTGGTCTAAATATTTCTACATATTCCAGGTCTAAGGCATCGAAAATTAATTAAACTTCAGTGAAGAACTCAACAGAGACCCTGCCCTCACCAGGTCTGGATGGCGCGGGTGGCCTTTAATACTTTGGAGGAACGCAAGTCCTCGAGGGCCTCGTACACACGCTGACGCAGGAACACCTTCGTCTTGCCGAGCTGCCAGTCCCTGGGCGACGCCCCCCGCAGCTCCCCCATGATGGCTCTGAAATTTATTTGAAAAACGTTATCATGATCAGTTGTGAAAAATATAATTTTACTGAATTATACCCACAACAATAAAAATTACAATGAATGACAATAAATTATCAGGACATGTAAATAACCATAACCTAATTGATGTGCCCCACCCCACCATGACCCACTTGTGCTCTCTATGACCCACTTAAGCTCCCACCATGACCCACTTGTGCTCCCACTATGACCCACTTGTGCTCCCACTATGACCGACTTGTGCTCCTTATGACCCACTTGTGCTCCTTATGACCCACTTGTGCTCCTTATGACCCACTTGTGCTCCTCATGACCCACTTATGCTCTTTATGACCCACTTGTGCTCCCACTATGACCCAATTGTGCTCCTTATGACCCACTTGTGCTCGCTATGACCCACTTGTGCTCTCTATGACCCGCTTGTACTTCCTATGACCCACTTGACGTGCTCCCTAATATCCTTGATATATCGGCGTCGGTGAAGGCAGAAGTATCGCAGCCTGAAGGCCGGGAAAGTCATGTGTATGGGGAAGCCTTCCCTCCTGATGCGGATGATGTCGTTCATGCCGAGGTAGCGGAGCTGGTCCAGCACAAGCGCGTCGTCGTAACTGTCGTAAGCCTTACGACTGTTCGGCTTGATGCACCGTACGTACCTGACCAATATTAAATGATTATTATCGAGGTAATTAGGAGGGAGTGATGTTAAATGGTTGTTATTGAGCTTGATAACAAGCCTTACGACTGTTGGGCTTGATGCAGCGTACGTACCTGAACAATATTAGGGGGCAATTGTAAGATATGAACTGGTTGCTGCCATTCGAAATTAGAACGGTTCATTCTTTTGTCTATCTCAGCAACGACGTCACTCACTGAACGGGATATGGCTCTCTGACCAAACGAGAAGCGTCAGTCAAGACCGGGAACTGCCGAGTATAGGTTCTTCAACTCATTCCTCTTCTAGTCGTGAGCGTAGACAAATGTGTTAAACTCACACTTCTGTAATCCCATAAACTGTAAGCTGTGTTACTCTATAAATAAGTACTCTGTTGTTCTTCACTCTGTGCCTCGTTTATCCTCTGATCACAAACTAAACCCGAACTAAGATCAGGTCTTTCATATAATCATTGTACATATAAGAGGTGCACTAGAAAAACAACCTCTTACATAATGTCAAATGGTTATTACCGAGGTTAATTACAAGCCTTACGACTGTTAAGAGAAGACTGGCGTGGCTTGTTATTAAACGCGCTAGTCGCTAGTTGACATGGTCCAAGGTGATGACTAGCCATGGATAACGAGATGACTAGCCATAGCAATGAGATCGCTAGCCACTAACCATGACTACGATACCATATCGTAAGCCATTTCATCATATCGATACCATATCATCAGACTACGATAACATATCGTAAGCCATATCGTCATATCGATACCATATCGTAAGCCATAGAAACGCACTAGCCATTAACTATAAAGCCATGGCATCATATCGATACCATATCATCATATCGAAACCACATCGTAAGCCATAGCACCACGCTAGCCATTAACCATAAAGCCTTATCACCATATCGATACCATATCATCAGACTACGATAACATATCGTTTGCCATAGTACCACACTAGCCATTAACCATAAAGCCATATGGTAAGCCATTAACCATACAACCATACCACCACATCATCACCCTAAGTAGCCATATGTCTGACCATGGCTGGGACGCCTGCAGGACGTCCACGAGGGCCTGTAGCTGGTTCCTGAAGGCGTCGGAGACCGTAGGCTTCCCCTTGCTGGTGCCCCGCGACACCGTGCTGTTCACGCTGCCCATACGGGCGATGGTGCAGCCTAGCAGGTCCTGTTAACAGGCAACAGGCAAGGCATGAGTCATTAAACAGTGCCTATAAAGGCCTGATGAGGTAATAGCTTCTTATGAGGTAATGACGTAAATAACCACTTATGAGATAATAATTAATAATAATAACCACACAGCACCTTGTCACCGGCCAGAGCTACTATAATTCAATCTGAACGTCAGGCTTGTAATTCACTATCAGGATTCACCGCTCATAGGCCAGGACAATATATGAATAAATTCCAGGCTACTGTGCTCGTTCATCTAACCTACAATGCCGTTCAACTCTCCTAGTCATCGTCAGTTAAAGCCGGTTCAAAGGCTGTGGTATATAATCACGACAAAGCACACTTTAAAATAGTTTATTGAATCACTTTCTTTAAAATCAGTAAAACGTGATAAAGGGCAAGCATAAATTCCGACTAAAATAACTTATGAAAAACGTTCAATTCTATTCCCTATTGCACAGCATTAATGCACGTAGTTCAGGTTGCATTAATTCACATAGGCGAACGATAGCAGGCAAGACTAAATAGTCACGGCACAGCCACGACTCTAGCGCTAAAGCACAGAATGCAGAGAGTTAACACAGCTGAGCGGGTTCAGGTATGAACCTCACTATAGGGCTGGCAGGACACGACTGACTACATGACGCACCGACGCGCAGACCTGACCTAGTGCTACGGTACGTAGTTTCAACCGCTGTAGGTCTGACTCACATGTCACTGGCGCGGCTTCGCCAGACGTAATCGAATTATATCGTCATAAGAAAATGCACATTGAATAAATTAGTGAACGATGTTCCTCGTTCACAACCTGAAACCTGATGAGGCAATAACTATGAAGCAATAACTAGAAATGTAATAACAACGGCCCAGCACCTAGTTCCTGGCGATATGGTAATAATATGTTACTAATTATATATGGTAATAATAACAACATACGTGGTAATAACTACATGCAATAACCATTATATAAATAACTATAATGCATAATAATAACGGCCCAGCACCTGGAACCTGGAGAGATAATAACCACTGTGGTAATAACCACAAATATGGCAATAACTATTTCGTAATAACTACAAATGAGGCAAAAAATAACTGCAATGCAATAACCACGCACTAACAACAGCACCTGGAACCTGGTGAGGTCTCCCACGAAGTCGTCCTCGGACTGTGCGAGGAGCTCGAAGAACACGTCCTGCTGCGTGTCTTTGTTCTTCTCCACGAACCCTGCCACGGAGTACAGCACCTCGCCTGCGTGACAACATAACGCGTTACTAACTCCACGAACCCTGCCACGGAGTACAGCACCTCGCCTGCGTGACAACATAACGCGTTACTAACTCCACGAACCCTGCCACGGAGTACAGCACCTCGCCTGCGTGACAACATAACNAAAAACAATGATCCCCAAATAAACAATGATCCCCAAATAAACAACAATGATCCCCAAATAAACAATAATCCCCAAATAAACAATGATCCCCAAATAAACAACAATGATCCCCAAATAAACAACAATGATCCCCAAATAAACAATGATCCCCAAATAAACAACAATGATCCCCAAATAAACAATAATCCCCAAATAAACAATGATCCCCAAATAAACAACAATTATCCCCAAATAAACAACAATGATCCCCAAATAAACAATGATCCCCAAATAAACCATAGTCCCCAAATAAGTCCCCGGCCCTAGCAGGAGTCCCAACAGACCGGCGTAGTGGCAGATGCCGAACTGTAGCTCCCACTTTCGACGGTCTTCTCCCTTGATGTAGTTGGGGTGACCGTCGAACTCCTGGTGCTGCTTCATCAGGTACGACTTGTCAGACCCCTGCTCGTAGAGAAAATACGTGAACGTAGATAATATGTGAACGTAGACCCCAGCACGTGGCAGATAATATGTGAACGTAGACCCCTGCACGTGGCAGATAATATATGAGTATAGACCCTAGCACGTATCAATAATACGTGAACGTAGACCCCAGCACGTGTGAATAATATCTGAGTATAGACCCCTGCTCGTGGAGATAATATGTGAACGTAGACCCCAGCACGTGGAGATAATACGTGAACGTAGACCCCTGCACGTGGAAATAATAACTGAGTATAGACCCCTGTATGTGTAAATACTACCGAGCATAGACCCCAGCACTTGACAATAATACCGTAACCGAGTATAGACCCCTGCACGTGACAGATAATAATTGAGTATGATAATTAAGGGACAGGTGACAAGGAAGGACAGGTGAGGGAGGGACAGGTGAAAAGTGCCGTCGGCCATCCGCACGAGAGACAATTAAAGAAGGGGAATGCCAAAAAAATCCTGCCTACATAATAACTTAACACGTTGAACGAGATACGATCGTATCGAACTCAACGCGTTAATCTCACAACGCGTGTCCCACAGCTGAGACCCACAGTCAGACACCGAGAGCTCTGCCTTGTGACGCTCAGAAACAATGTTCCTAGGAACGTGGAATCCAATATAGAACTTTTGACGATCACGATACACGTCAGAATTGGATATAGGCACGATATACGTCAGAAGTCCCCGATGAGGGGGCAAGAGTGAATAATATAAACTAAACGTCACGAGATGAAAGGAGGTATAGCATGGAAAACCTGAAATTAGGATTTTGCTGCATGGAAGAATGACTACAATTAGTTCTCGATAATAAGGTAAACAAGAGCAATTAGCGTTATTACGACATGAGCGATGTTGCTGTTTGTGGTACCGGCGTCTGGCGATGAGGAAAAGGCTGGAAGGAGGGAAACGCGAGCAAAAAAGAGGATAAAAAAGGAAGGGAATGGGAAATGCTCTAGGTCCATTCTTTAATTATTGGAGAGAAGACCAGAAAGAGAGAGAAAAAATATAACTCAGTACTCATTGCAGAGAGTGACAGAGAGCGCATTTTCGCGTCGACGAAAACTTGAAGTCACGGACAGACGGACAGACAGACGGGCAGACAGCCGGACGGACATATGGCGAGCACAATAGTGCATTTTTTCCATAAATGAGAAAGTGCGGTAAAAATGGCTGGTTAAACCACAATTTCCTAATCCTTGGAAGGCGCAGGGCTCTAAACGAAACAGGTTTAATAAACTTCATTTGACCCATTAACAGGATTGACTGTATAGTGTATATGCTGTAGTCTTGACAGAGCCCATTCTAAAGTATTTATTAGAAAGGAGAATGCGCTAACCCACCTTTGGCATGCGACATTCCTCAGCAATGAGCTTGAGGATACAGCGCGGAGGCTTCTCCAGCAGCTCCAGACACACGGAGTTGTCCGTGAACTCGATGTGCCGGAACTTCAGACCCTCTTGTTCATACTGAAACAGAATTAAAAGTCTACAACTCTACATCTTAACAAAATAGACAAGAGTCTACAAACTTGTAAACAAAAGTCTACATCTTTACAAAATAGACAAGAGTCTACAAACTTGTAAACAAAAGTCTACAAACTTTACATCCAAGGCAACAACTATATACTATATGGTACATGTTTTATCATACAGGAGAGCTTTTGAGCGCGTGTTCAAACTTTTAACTTGAAGTAATACGAAAAACCTGGAAACCGAAGCGTTTCGAAAAGTTGTATAGTACTGAAGAAAAGTTCAACACGGCAAGCTTCTGTGCCCAAAAGATATTCAGTAATATAAGATTCAAGATCTCTAGTTCAGATGCCGACGTAAACTTTTATAATTATTTTAATTCTATTCCATATCTATTCATTCCTATCTATTCATACATACCTATTCATTCATACCTATTCATTCATACCTATTCATTCATACCTATTCATTCATACCTATTCATTCATTTCTATTCATTCATACCATTCATTCATACCTATTCATTCATCTCTAGTATGTTCATACCTATTCATTAATACCCATTCATTCATACCTATTCATTCATTTCTATTCATTCACACCTATTCATTCATACCTATTCATTCATCTCTATTTTATTCATACCATTCTATTCATTCCATGTCTAGAGATCAAGGCATAGCCCGGGAAACTAAACAGCCTCACGAATATTCTTACCGATACTTCTAATCCTAATTTGCACTCTCAATTTCTGAAGAATAAAAACATTAACATTGTTGAAAAATAAGAGTAAACCTCATGGAATGTTTCAATGTAAGCTGCGATGTTGATCTGAGTGATCAGGAACATGGTCCCTGACCATGTGCAACAAAATACATCACAATACGCTTATTGTAATAAAAACATTAACATTGGTGAAAGACAAGATGAAACGTCATGGAATGTTTCAACGTAAGCAGCGATGTACTCACAATTTCCTGCTCGAGGGCGAAGACGTAATGGTTGAAGAACTTGTGCAGCTTCTCGTTGGTGTAGTTGATGCAGAGTTGCTCGAAGCTGTTCACATCGAAGTTCTCGAAGCCGAAGATATCGAGCACACCTAGAAACCTGAGTTGAGTAATGCATTTTCAGTCTTAGCTTCTCAAAAAAGATGTACGAATATATAAATATTTGTACAGTTAGGCAGAAGTTTTTCCTTTATGCAAGTTGTATTAAAGAACAGAGAGTATTTCTTATTAACGATCATCTTATTAATCTTGATGCTGCGAACCAGGCTTTTTGCGGGATTTGAAAGTTCGAATATAAGGTTTCCAAATGACATTTTTATTTCACTTTACGACCTTTCGAATAATCCATATTCATTATCAAGTAAATGAAGTGTTTTACAACGCTTGAAATTGAAATTTTGGAATGACGATAGTACGTACAAAGGGTATAGTGGATACAACACAAAATTGAAACTTAAAATTACTCCGAAAACAACTTCAATGTCCTGACGAATCCGGTAGTTTGTAGATTGATAGCTGGGGACTCTTCCTTGATGATGAGAGCCTCAGCTATCGCCAGTCTTGCAGCGTCGGGGCACCGCATATGATGCTCGTGCCGGCTTCCAGTGCCGCGCGGGGGATGGTCTCCCCGTGGACATCCCTCATGTGGTTCTTTGGGCCTCCGGTCTGGAGATGTCACGTGAGGCGGCGGCTTAAGGTAGTAGTGGAGATGGCACCGTTGCCCCGACGCTGCAAGACTGGCGATAGCTGAGGCTCTTATCATCAAGGAAGAGTCCCCAGCTATCAATCTACAAACTACCGGATTCTTCAGGACATTGAAGTTATTTTCGAAGTAATTTTAAGTTTCAATTTTGTGTTGTATCCACTATACCCTTTGTACGTACTATTGTCATTCCAAAATTTCAATTTCAAGCGTTGTAAAACACTTCATTTACTTGATAATGAATATGGATTATTCGAAACGTCGTAAAGTGAAATAAAAATGTCATTTGGAAACCTTATATTCGAACTTTCAAATCCCGGAAAAAGCCTGGTTCGCAGCATCGAGATTAATAAGAAGATCGTTAATAAGATATACGCTCTGGTCTTTAATAGAACTTGCATAAAGAATATATAAATGTACATTTTCACTCTTAGCGTCTCAAAACAATGTACGAATATATTAATGTACATTTTCAATAGTAGATTCTCAAAGCAATGTACGAAAATATTAATGTAGTTGAAAAAATGAGCCATTATATTTTATTTAAATGTTGTCATATAATATGTGTGGCACCAAGATGACGATGATAGAACTCTACAGCATCACTCACACATCGATAAGTGACATGATTAAATTTAATAACATGTTCAAAATAGAGATAATTGATTACATTTTCTCAGTAACAACATATACGTCATTAGAGGCCGTGGAAATTCGACCTCAACACTAGGGCCACGTCCCCGGTACACGGTACTGTGCTTGATACACGGTACCTGGCCTGGTCGTGCCCAGGGTTGGTACACGGTACCTGGCCTGGTCGTGCCCTGGGTTGGTACACGGTACCTGGCCTGGTCGTGCCCTGGGTTGGTACACGGTACCTGGCCTGGTCGTGCCCCGGGTTGGTACACTTGTTGATGTGGTCCACGAGCCAGGCGAAGGTACGCGAGTAGAGCGTCTTGGCCATCGCGTGTCTGTTCTCTCGCGCCTCGCCGACCTGAGGCAAAAATTTGAAATATTTCTGAAATATGAAATATCTTTCGTTTTTCACCCAAAAAAATAAAATATATTTCAGATTTCAGCTACAAATTACATTGGAATATTTCACCTATTTTTGGCTGAAATATGAAATATATATCAGATTTCAGCCATAAAAATGAAATATATTTCGTATTTCACCACAAAAAATGAAATCTTTCAGTCAACTAATGTTAACATCTATTAAAAATTTTTGTTTCCGATAAAAAAATTTACATATCAGCCAAAAAAATTAAATATATTTCATATATCAGCCAAAAAACGAAAAAATGCAAGGTGTGCCGTATATGGGTGACATAACTCACCTTATAAAGTATATGTGTGACATAACTCACCTTATAAAGTATATGTGTGACATGACTCACCTTAAAAGGTATATGGGTGACATGACTCACCTTAAAAGGTATATGGGTGACATGGCTCATCTTAAAATGTATATGGGTGACATAACTCACCTTAAAAGGTATATGGGTGACATGACTCACCTTAAAAGGTATATGGGTGACATGACTCACCTTAAAAGGTATATGGGTGACATNACCACGTGGTTATTGTGCTACCATCAACCACGTGGTTATTGTGCTACCATCAACCACGTGATTATTGTGCTACCATCAACCACGTGGTTATTGTGCTAAACCATCAACCACGTGGTTATTGTGCTAAACCATCAACTACGGTGTTATTGTGCCACCACTAATATACAGCGTGGATTGAGGGCGCATATATTAGTTAATTAATCATATATTCAATTAAAAATTAGAGCACCGGTGTTGAGGTCGTAAGTAAATTTGATGATGCTCAGGACCGAGGAATGCTCAACGCTAGGACCGAAGAATATTTGGCTGGTGTGGCAGTGAGGGTGTAAGTACCGGTATATATATTAGCCGAGGGCTGCGCAAGGGCAAGCGAAGCAGGACTGTTGTAAGGGATGCAGCAAATTTAAGTAATTTGTAGTGTACGAGTTTTTAAAAACAAGAAAAATTCGCGCCACTAAGTTTCTTATGAAGTGTTAGCCACGTGAAGGCACGGTTGTAGACGTGGATTACAACCACGATGCATGCCAGAAGTCCCTAAAAGTAATGGCCTCTAGAAACTTCGGGTCTCTGATGTTGCTACTATCATCCATTTTTAAACTACTATTCTCATAGGCAGAAGAATACTTTGTGAAATAAATTTAATTTACATTAGAGGCAAATCCTCACAAGTGGTATTAATAAGAATTATTGTGAGGAAGAGACGAAGAGATGTACAGTTTGTGCCCCCGCGCCACCTCGAGGTTGCCGAGCCAAACCCAACCCAACCTACCCTAACCTAACCCTGCCCTCGAGGTTGCCGAGCCCAACCCAACCCAACCTAACCTAACCAAACCTACCCTAAACCTGACCTCTAGGTTGCCGAGCCCAACCCAACCCAACCCAACATACCCTAACCTAACCCTGCCCTCGAGGTTGCCGAGCCCAACCCAACCCAACCCAACCTAACCAAACCTACCCTAACCCTGACCTCTAGGTTGCCGAGCCCAACCCAAACTAACCCAACCCAACCTAACCAAACCGAACCCAACCCAACCGAACCCAACCCAACCGAACCTACCCTAACCTAACCTCTAGGTTGCCGAGCCACAGGATGGCCGAGATGGTAGAGTAGATGCCGTCGGCGGTATCCTGCGGGACATGTAGGACGTTGAAGGCGAGACGTAGGGCGTCAAACTTGGCGGTGTCGTCCATACCTTCTATTTGTGAACAGCCGGACTGGTTGAGGTATGAGTACGTGGTCTGGGGGTCTATCTTGTACTGGTCTGCCAGCTCTTTGTTCTTCTGCACACCAGACACAGGGATAGCTTTTAAAACATATATAACATTATATATCAATACACAAATATAATATAATACCTAATAATATTACATAATAATAGCTTCGTTTGCCAGCTCTCTGTTCTTCTGTACACCAGACACAGGGATAGCTTATAAAACAAATTTATTATAATGCTTTATAAGAATACACAAATATATTACAATAAAATTATATAACAATAAAGTTATACAATGGATATCATTGTACACAACACCATGAAATTGCGTACCAGAGATTAATTATGTTTGTATTAAGTTTCCCACTTCTTTAAAGTACATATTGAGCAATATCCAGACAATCACGTTAAACGATCAATACAACTTCATGAAGCAAAAAATAATACATAGTATATACTATATTTAATTTTATTATATATATTATTATATTATTAGTTTATTATATAGGTATATTTCATATTTGTTATATATAGGTATTATATTATTATTTATAGTATATATAGGCGTAGCAGCAGGCCTAAGTACAAATAGCGGCCTATTTCTTGTTTGCGATTGCTATGTTTATCTCACAAATCCTTCAGTGATTGGCTAAAGAAGTTGCTAACTGGCGACTATTTTTAATAATACGGCTTCTTGGGTACCGGGTCAAACCATCTAAAAAAAATGCTGGCCCTACCATCAGCACTAAAAAATTTTTCATCAAGTTAATATTGATAAATAACGGTTTCAGCGTTTATTAGGCCGTAAGCCTGTCGCCGATTCTTAACATCGCAGAACATTCACAGCATTTTGCAGTCTCGAACTCGCAACTCACTGCCACAATTCTGCTGGTCTTAACCGCCCGGCCTCCTCGCCGATTCTGACCAGAAACTGGCGCACAGAGCTGGGATCGAACCCGCGCCTCTCTGCTCCAATCCTGGTAGTACTCTGAGGCCATACTTTCAAAACTCGCTAAGTGAACGTGAGTACGTACGCTCTATTTTCTTGTCTATGATTGGTGGATTTTGTTTGAAAGGCCGTCAATGATTGGCTTATCAACTTCGATCTCTTAACTTTTTTGAAAGTATAGACCCTGAACTGTAACCACTGGGCCACCCTGCACTTGATACCTTGGCGCCGGCGACGAGTTGGTAGAAGACATGGTAGTTCCTCTCACTGCTGCCCTGGAAGGTAATGCGTGACTGTTCCAGCAGGTAGTCTTGCATCACGCAGCCTTTGATGTGCCATGAAGGGTCGAAACAAACCTGCATGAACTTGCCGAACCTGCTAGAGTTGTTGTTGCGGATAGTCTTCGCGTTACCTGCAAAGACGAGCACACTTGTTAAATGATATTAAACCTGCTAGCAGGTTTTAAGGTTCCAAAACAGAGCAAAAATAAAGTTTAAGGCATAGTGTGTAAATTTTATCTGTGTGGCAGTGTGTAATGTGATGATTTTATCAGTGTGGCAGGGTATGGTGTGGTAATTTCATCCAACACCATCACAGCTTGACCCACCGAAAGCCTCTAGGGCCACTCCACTCCACCACAGTTTGACCCACCAAATTATTAGTGGACACCAAAAATACGTCCAAATTCTACCCACCGAAGGCCTCTAAGATGGTATTGGCCTCAAGGATCTGCTGCTCCACCCAGGTGCTGACACCGGACGTCACCGAGCAGAGGTACTGCAGGATGAACTTGGTCGACTCCGTCTTGCCCGCCCCAGACTCCCCTGAGATCACGCAACTCTGGTTCTGGCCCTCGCCTCTGTAATACATTTTACGGTGCAATGCAGGGAGGGTTACATATCAACATGAGTGCACGGTGCAATGCAGGTGTTGATGTTTCACGGTGCAATGCAGGGAGGGTTATATATCAACAGTAGAGCATCATATTGTACGTGGGAGCGTTACACATTAACACGGTGCAATGCAGGGAGTTATACGTATATCAACAGGAAGACGTATCGTATAGTAATAAAAACCTGACACTTAACTCTCTGGCCCTCGCCTCTGAAATGCCTTTCACGGAGCAATACAGGGAGCGTTATATATCAACAGGAGCATCATATTGAAACAAAAACTGAAAATTAACTATACTAAAAATAACTCAATAATATTTAATTAATCTGCAATGCATTTTACGGTGCAATGCAGGGAGGGTTATATCTATCAACAGGAGAACGTATCATATTGAAACAAAAAACAAACACTTAACTTTCACTAAATGACGCAGGAATATTCAATTAAATGCAGAAGTAATTTAATTAATATTAAGCTTCTAGCGGGAAATTTACACAGGAGCACGTATCATATTGGAACAAATAACCTTAACATTCCCTAAATAATTCAATCCTGTTTAATTAAACCAATACGTAATTTAATATTAAGCCTTTAGCGAGAAGTGAACATACATGATCACTTAGAATTTCCTCCTAAAAAAGACCCAGAACGGTCCCCGGTTGAAGGCAACGTCATTATGCCTCCGCTAGTTGCAATATTTATTAAACCAACTGAAGAAACTTGATGATATTTAATTAAATTGCGGAAGGTTAGTTGATCTTTGCATTTGAATGTTCGAATTTATATTATTAATATTTTTCAGCGTAGTGACCGTATTTGATAGATACTTCAACTGCGATAAACTCGGTCAATATTCAAATTAATTGGAAGATTCATTGGAATAAATATGTATTATAAATAAATACTATCTTTTACTTGTTTTAGAAACTTTAATTGCTTTCTGTTAATGGCGCCCATTGACTCACTTGCCGCTCGCCTGCAGCGCCCTGAGGGCGCTCTCTGCCACGGCGAAGACGTGAGGCTCTTCCTCTGCGAGCTTCTTGCCCTCATAGCGCCTCACTGAGGCCTGGGGTGAGGACATGGCGGTGAGGACATGAGGATGAGGACACACTATACTAATTATATAATGATAATATTTCAGCATTTTATTATATTTAAATAAAACTTTATTACATTTAAAATATTAAACATTATAGTTTAAATAATATAAGATTTAATATTTTAAATATATTAATAACATCACAATAATATGATGTTATTTATATACCACACAATGATACCACATTAATATAAAACAATAATATATAAATAATATCATAACAATATAACACATACATACATATAACACAACAATAAGACAAGGTGCGACACTCACAGGGCCGTAGATGTCAAGTGTCTTGTATGGGTTGACGGCGACCAGGATGCTGCCGCTGTATGTCTGGGGGACGTGGTCAGGAAAACACCCGTCGGGGGATATACAGGGGCACACGAGACGGGGGACTTCATACAAACACCCGTCGGGGGATATACAGGGGCACACAGGACGGGGGACTTCATACAAACACCCGTCGGGGGATATACAGGGACACACGAGACGGGGGACTTCATACAAACACCCAGCGGGGGATATACAGGAGCATACAAGACGGGGGACTTCATACAAACACCCGTCGGGGGATATACAGGGGCACACAGGATGGGGGACTTCATACAAACACCCGTCGGGGGATATACAGGGGCAAACAGGACGGGGGATTTCATACAAACACCCGTCGGGGGATATACAGGAGCATACAAGACGGGGGACTTCATACAAACACCCGGCGGGGGATATACAGGAGCATACAAGACGGGGGACTTCATACAAACACCCGTCGGGGGATAGACAGGGGCACACAGGACGGGGGACTTCATACAAACACCCGTCGGGGGATATACAGGGGCATGCAGGACGGGGGACTTCATACAAACACCAGGGGGATATACAGGGCACACGAGACGGGGGACTTCATACAAACACCCGTCGGGGGATATACAGGGGCACACAGGANGAATCAAGCAATGTTGAGCCTCGATTATATGAACGGCCTGTCGGTAATCTCGTTTTACTTCTGAGAAAACAATGATTTGTTTTATGTGTTTGAAATTGTGGTGGGTGGACTGTCTCGTGTGAAACACGAGATTACTCATTCAGAGAAATTTTTATGTCCCTGCTTGTGGCAACATCCCTTTATGCGTTGTCGGGTGCTATTGCAAAAAATATAGTCGACGCTGAACTAGCCCCGAAACAACATTGTCGTAAGTTTTAAAGGAAGTGATAATGTGTTATTGCTTTGTTAATTTCTATTTTAAGCGACCGTGCTTGTGAATAGTGAAATAATAGAAGGGAAACGTAGCTTTTAGAATTGACTCGTGTTTTCTGGTTCCTTGCAGTTTTAACAAATATATACCCCAAATCCTGGTGGCTGTTACTCCACCTACGGGAGAAGATTCATTATCCTCGAAGTAGGCGGCACATTTAATATGTTTGTAATTAATATTCAGCAAAGAGAGAATCCGCACAAAAAGCAAAGGGATTCACGCCAACATGGAGAGAGGCACTCGAGTAATGTACGACCTGGTCAATAATTGTAGCGATAATTTTCTAATTAAATCGCGATAATTCCTAATTAAATTGCGATAGTTGATTTCTTAATTGTAGCGATAATTTCCTAATTCGTAGCGAATTTCCTAATTTGTAGGGATAATTCCTAATTAAATTGTGATAATTTCCTAATAACATATTAATTTCCAAAAAATTGTAGCGATAATTTCCTAATTGGTAGGAATAATTACAATTAAATACCGTAGCAATAATTTATTAATTGTAAAATAGCAATAATTTCATAATTTGTAGTGACAATTTCCTAATTTCCTAATAATTGTAGTGATAATTTCCTACCTACAGATACAGGTACTGAAGATGATGATTGGTACACGTCATGGTAGTTTTGTCATGGTAGTGACGGTAGTGAGTGATGTAGGTAGTTTCTTATTTAATATATTTATGTAGGTAGTTTAATACTATTTAATATATTTATTAAGGTAGTTTAATTGGAGCCGCAGTCACGGAAGTGTCAGGAGAGATGCTGATAGTTGGTCAGTGCGGGACAGATGGCATGATCAGCGACTAAGGAACAACAGACGCCTTCATGCCACTTGAGAGATCACACTCCACACACTCCAGAGATGACACTCCACACAGGATAAGTAGATACGCAGGCATATCATAACATCACACATGCCACACACACACAAACACACACACCCTAATGCCACACATAGCGCTGTGTGTGAACTGGGCGTTAAATGGAAAGGGAAAGATGCATGGCTCGGGGAACAGACATGGGCAGAAGAAGGGCATGGGGTGTAGGGTATGTAAGGGCAACAAGGGGTGTAGGGTATGTAAGGGCAACAAGGGGTGTAGGGTATGTAAGGGCAACAAGGGGTGTAGGGTATGTAAGGGCAACAAGGGGNGTGAGGACACGACAGGTGTAGGGGTGAGGACATGAGGGGTGTAGGTGTGAGGACACTAGGGGTGTAGGGGTGAGGACACGAGGGGTGTAGAGATGAGGACACGAGGGATGTAGGGGTGAGGACACGAGGGGTGTAGGGGTGAGGACACTAGGGGTGTAGGGGTGAAGACACGAGGGGTGTAGAGATGAGGACACGAGGGGTGTAGGGGTGAGGACACGAGGGGTGTAGGGGCGCTGGTATCTTACGTCTGCTTTAAGCCGCCACTGATGTTCACCCACAAGTCGTAAACGAAGCTCAAGGCCGCGTGTCGTAAGAACGTTCGAGTCGTGAGACGCCAGTAAACGTGCAGGTCGCATGTCGTAAGCGTGCAGGTCGCGCATGTCGTAAGCGTGCAGGTCGCATGTCGTAAGCTTGCAGGTCGCATGTCGTAAGCGTGCAGGTCGCGCATGTCGTAAGCGTGCAGGTCGCATGTCGTAAGCGTGCAGGTCACATGTCGTAAGCGTGCAGGTCACATGTCGTAAGCGTGCAGGTCGCATGTCGTAAGCGTGCAGGTCGCAGGTCGCAAGCGTGCAGGTCGCACGTCGTAAGCTTGTAGGTCGCACGTCGTAAGCGTGCAGGTCGCATGTCGTAAGATTGCAGGTCGCATGTCGTAAGCGTGCAATATATGACGCTGAGTCTCTCGCGTGGGAAAAGCATGTTTCAATTTAAGGATTGTGAAGCAGCACGAACACATTAATGTCAACTTTTCAGCGAGTTCATTTTAGCTGAATTATTGTAGCAAGCTTGAATTAACAGTATTATAAGTTATATTATGTTTATTACCTTTCATGCAACAACTTGACACTTTGGCGAACGACAAGAAAGTGAAATTTCACAGGCCTGTGTATAGGTCAACACTCGCTTCTGCACTGTCAGAAAAATCGCCGTTAAACGGTATTACCGTCGTTTCAGGAACCGGCCGGCACGTGAAATTAAATACCGTGTTGCCGTTTTTATTCCAATTTACATTCGAAACCCATTTAAGATCTGAAAAAACGGCAAAACGGTTTATTTTCACGGGGTGGCTGGTTACCAGAACGGCAGTAAGACAGTTTTTTTAACAGTGTGACGTGACTTCTAACACACAGCGCCTAATGCATTACATTGAGCAATACATTATATAGTTTTGTTGCATTCCTGATTGAAATACTCATCGAAAATCAAGTAGACACCGCAAGGGGTTGAGAAAGTATACTATCACAGGACTGATGATATACCGACGTATATGCGTCAAAAGCGTATAACAAAAGGCTGAACCTTGCGTTCGACGTCGTCTTGTGTCGTCAAAACAAACACTTTACAGGAAAATACGTTCTAAAGAGCAGAGTAAGTGTGTGTTCCTAGATCTGAGACAACATACAACACGCGGACACATGTGACGAAACACGTTCAACGAAAACATAAAAAAACGGGCACAAAACAGGACGAAACTGAGACAAAGACGTTTGCTTTAGCGCACATATAACCTTAACATATGCAGGATGGAAATGATTTTGAAAATAATAAATTAAACACCGTTCGAAAATGATAAAATTCTGCGGGTATATCGTTGTCAATTATAGTGGTGGGAGCTATAATGTCACACCAACATGGGCTTCCCAGCACACGCACTAGTCATAAAAGATCGGATGTCTCCCACGAGACAGTGAATGCAGAGGAGTTCGAGGGACATTACGACACATGACATTTACAGGCGCCCCCTCCATATATCAAGCACACTTAGCATTATAATACATTAGTACAGCATTGTCGGAAACTTGAATAGTCACCATAGACACGAAGATAAAATAGATGTAAAGGTAATGATATAGTTTCTCTACACTCTAAATTGCCTTGGCCAGGGCACATAAGGTATAAGTAGATACGCAGGCACAACATAACATCACACATCATAAAATCACACATCATAACATCACACATCAAAACATCACACATCATAACATCACACATCACAACATCACACATCGCACCATCACACATCATAACATCACACATCACAATTTCACACATCATAACATAACACATCACAACATCACACATCATAACATCACACATCATAACATCACACATCATAACATCACACATCATAACATCACACATCATAACATCACACATCATAACATCACACATCATAACATCACACATCACACACAACATCACACATCATAACATCACACATCACAACATCACACAACATAACATCACAACATCACACAACATAACATCACAACATCACACAACATAACATCACACATCACACAACATAACATCACACATCACATCACACATCACACAACATAACATCACAACATCACACATCATAACATCACACATCACAACATCACACATCACACATAACATCACACATCACATCACACATCACACAACATAACATCACAACATCACACATCATAACATCACACATCATAACATCACAACAGCACACATCATAACATCACACAACATAACATCACACATCATAACATCACACAACATAACATCACACAACATAACATCACACATCATAACATCACACTCACAACATCACACATCACAACATCACACATCACAACATCACACATCACAACATCACACATCACAACATCACACATCACAACATCACACATCACAACATCACACATAAAGGATACGTAGATGCGGTCGTGCGCATATCGCACGCGCAGGTTGGTGTTGACGGCCGCCTCGTCGATGTCTGAGAGCACCGTCATGTCGGGCACCCCCTGGTCCGCCTGGCACCCTGCGCGTGATCAAGGTGATTAGAGGGTAATTGCGGTGATTGAAATAATTAAAGTGATTAGAAGGTAATTGCGGTGATTGAGGTAATTAGGAGTTAATTAATTTGATAAGGAGGTAATTAAGGTAACAATGAGATAATTAATTTAATGGGCGAAGTAATTTAATAACGAGGTAATTTAAGTAAAAACGAGGTAATTAATTTAATATGGAGGTGAATAATTTAATAAGGAAGTGATTTAAGGTAATAAGGAGGTTATTAACTTAATAAGGATGTAATTGATTTAATAAAGAGGTAATTGATTTAATAAAGAGGAAATTAAGGTAATTAGAATGTTATCATGGTAATTAAATGGAAGAGCATTCAAAATACATTTAATAAGGGTGATGAAGGTTGGCCTGGGGAAGTATTTAGGCAAGATTATGGGAATAAATTATGGTGCGATTTAGAAATAATGGCCAGCACCACGCCATTAGCTTGAGATCACAAGTAGAAAAACTTATTGTAGAAAAGCTTTATTGTAAGTAATCGATGTTGTTCAGCATCGTATAGTGCTGCTCCCGCTCAGCACGAGGTAGAAGGTGCATGAGGCGTATTTTATACATATAACATATACAAAGGCCCTATTTATACATATACAAAAAAACGATTTCAATGCAATTCTCAACAAAAGAATAGGTAGCACGACTTACAATAACAATAACCGTGAGAGATGCACTGCATGTCTACTGCCTGGATTACCTACTGCATATTTGTTACCTAGATTATCTACCGCATACCAGTTACCGAGATAATCTACCGCATACCAGTTACCGAGATAATCTACCGCATATCAGTTACTTAGATAATCTACCGAATATCAGTTACCTACATAATCTACCGCATATCAGTTATCTAGATAATCTACCGCATATCAGTTATCTAGATAATCTACCGCATATCAGTTATCTAGATAATCTACCGCATATCAGTTACCTAGATAATCTACCGCATATCAGTTACCTAGATAATCTACCGCATATCAGTTACCTAGATAATCGAACTTATATCTGTTACAATATAATCTAACGCATTTCAGTAACCTCGATAATCTAACGCATTTCAGATACCTAGATTAACTACTGCCCATGTTTCGCTAGCGCAAGCCATGACTCAGCACTTATTTTCTGAGTCCAGCAGTGGCACGGAACGGGACGCCTGTCGGACACCACCACTGCCGTGCTTTGAATGGACTATCATGATCACTTCCCTCAAGAACTTAAGCTTATAACACTTCTTGACTGTAACGTTATCAACCGCAAGCCACTAGACAGATCACATCCATTAAATTAGACCAATCAGCCCACATAAAAACAGCCTGCATTAGTTTGGCCCAGGATCGACTGCCAGTTCGCGAAAAAATTCGATACCACTCGGACCCAGCGCGCCGGAGCCTTGCAGTAAATTTGTGGACCGCCACCAGCGGTGAAACAGAACTATGCTAGCTCAAACAGAAGCTAGCAGAACTATGCTAGCTTTGAAACAGAACTATGCTAGCTCAAACCTAACCCCAGATGCTTGCTGTGAGTGAAAAGTACGTCATTTAACGAAGCCCCGGTAGTCACTCGTCGAAGGACCATAAGTTTTGGAACAGAACTATGCTTTCTGAAACTCTACCCAGATGCGGTGAGCTTAAAGTCTGATGGTGCACGGCAGGATTCATGCAGTTCCACTGACGAGCTGGGCTGGTTGGTCGCAGTCCGTTGTCCGTTATATATTTTAGTTACAGTTCGAGCTAAAGTCGGGGTATGAAGTGATGATTCGATGTAGCACTCTGAACTATTCGCTTCAGAATATTGTGGCGTAAAGCTCCCAAATATGTAAAGCAAGATGATGTCATGGGCCTGTTACTGACGGCAGGATTAATACGCGGCTGATTGTTGGCCATATGGAAATATGCTAGGCGTTCTATTCAGGGCTGATAGGTGCACAAAATTTGTGGTGCACGGCTGCGCTCCCCGAGGGACACATCGCTATCAGCGGCGCGATAAGCGAGCGGCGGCGCAGGATATCCTGCCCGGCAGTCGCCACCTCGCGATAATTATTAACATTCCCTGTATTGGAGGTCAACATAAACGCGTTTATTGATATTTAACCCCTTAGCATCTAGCTGTACATATAAGTCGTCTTTCAATTTTTTTATACATGAAGCTCATTTTTCCACCTAGACGAAAATGCCGCTGTTAATTTAAAGCTAGGTTATGTCCAATAGATTTCAGCGATGTGGTATGGATGCAATGAGAGGTTTTTTACTAGCAAGAAAATTGGCCGCTAAAGTATAATTAACATTCACATTAATTAACTAGGTTAATATTCAAAGGCTTAGAAACTGAACGAGCGAAAGATATATTCAAACTAACGGGCGAGGAAATATCTCGAACACCAACAATTATCGTTCAATAAACATGATTTAAGAACGAAAAAAAAAAATTCAACCTGCATGGCGGAAAAATTAATTTAAATTCGATATTAAAGTGCAAAAATATAAATAAAACCAATTGAATGAATTTATTATGCAGTTCATTTAATCAAGCGAGTTATCGGCCAACTTAGCGCTCTCATCTACTGAATCAACTGAGTATAAACGTCGTCTATCTCATCGAATCAATCCCAGAAAGAGAACGCGGGATTACGATGGTCCTTACGAAATTGTAGTGGTCGTGAGATCGCATGGAATCTGTATGCATGTTGCGTACAGACGAATTTGTGTATGTTGCGTACAGACGAATCTGTGTGTGCGTTGCGTACAGACGAATCTGTGTGTATGTTGCGTACAGACGAATCTGTGTGCACGTTGCGTACTGACGAATCTGTGTGCACGTTGCGTACTGACGAATCTGTGTGCACGTTGCGTACTGACGAATCTGTGTGCATGTTGCGTACAGACGAATCTGTGTGAGCGTTCCGTATAGACGAATCTGTGTGCACGTTGCGTACAGACGAATCTGTGTGCACATTGCATACTGACGAACCTGTGTGCACGTTGCGTACAGACGAATCTGTGTGCATGTTGCGTACAGACGAATCTGTGTGCATGTTGCGTACTGACGAATCTGTGTGCACGTTGCGTACAGACGAATCTGTGTGCACGTTGCGTACTGACGAATCTGTGTGCACGTTGCGTACAGACGAATCTGTGTGCATGTTGCGTACAGACGAATCTGTGTG